CCCATCCATAGTAAAAACACCCATAAGTGTCTTCAACATTTTAAATCGCGCCGCCACCACCGCCACCTTCCCCTCCGCCCTCAGCAATGCTCATCGCCGATCAACGCCTCAAATCCGCCGCCATCGAGATCGAACATTGTTATGTTAAGATCTCTCTTCAGTGCTCCCTCTGTTTCTCTCTTCACCCTCAAACCCAACAAAATCAACCAATTTAGACTCTCAACCCTCTCAAATCCCAATCTTTCGAGAAATTCAAGGAGGCCCATCTGGAAAACTGGAAGCATGAGCGAGCTTTTGGAGATACTAGGCCCCTTGGATCGAATTTTCCCGCCTTCTAACGGCGATCCCCACTTAGGTTTCCTTCGGAGATGCATGAGGTCGAAGAATTACTTAATGGGTAGTTTGATTCATGCTCACTTGATCAAGTCTGGATTGAAAGACGAGATCTTGGTTTCGAATGTGATGCTGTTTGTGTATGCTAAAGCTGGGTTTTTGAGCAGCAGCGTTAAGGTGTTTGATGAAATGCCTGAGAGAGATGTTGTATCTTGGTGCACTTTGATTTCGGGGTATGTTGGATTTGGGTTTGAGATTGAAGCATTCGGGTTGTTTAAGAGGTTGATGGAGAGCAGTTTGAGGCCGAATCAGTTTGTTATGTCGTCAGTTCTAAAGGGCTGTTCAGGTTTTGGTGTACTTGAGCTTGGCCTTATGGTTCATGGGTTAGTTTTTAGGAGTGGGTTCGGATTTGATAGGTTTGTGGAGATTGGGGTTGTTGATATGTATGCAAAATGTGGGGCTATACATGATGCACTTAAAGTGTTCTATGAAATTCCTATAAAGAGTTCGGTTACCTGGAATACGATGATTTCCGGTTATGTTCAGAATGGATTTCTTGTTGAGGCTGTGGACCTCTGCCAGGAGATGTGTCGGGTTGGGATTGTTATGGATTTGGTGACTTTGAGGGTTGTAGCTAACGCTGCTGCTTCTTTGGAGATGTTTGAGTTTTGTAAGAATCTTCATGTTTACTCTATCAAAATTGGACTGGATAGAGATACGTTTGTTGTAGCTGAGTTGGTTAGGTTGTTATCTAAGACTGGGGAAGTAGACCATATGGGCAAACTTTTTAAAAGGGTAAGAAGCCCTGATATCTCCTTATATTCTTTGTTAATCTCTGGATATCACTTACATGGCTGCAGAGTGGAGGCAGTGCTGCTCGCAGAGGAGTTTTTAGCTTTGAATTTGAATCCAAAGCAAGGAGCTTTGGTTAACGTGATTAACTTGTGCCTCTACAAAGAAGAAGGTAAACAAATGCATGCGCACATCATAAAAACTGCTCATCTGTCTTATCTTTCTATTGGGAATGCTCTAATATCTATGTACATCAAATTTGGAGAGATTTTAGATGCAAAAATGATCTTTGTTGGAATGCTAGTACGAGATGTAGTTTCATGGACTGCAATAATGGCAGGCCTTGTCCAAAATCTTCAATTCGAAGAAGCCCTTGAGACATTTTGTGCTTTGAGGAGAATTCAGATACAAGTGGACCAACACTCCATATCAACAGCGGTAAACGCTTGTACAGGTCTTAGATCAATATATATTGGCCAGCAGATTCACGCTCTGAGCCTGAAAATATGGTTTGAATTTTCTAACTTTGTGAGTGCATCATTTCTTCACATGTATTCAAAATGTGAACACATTGAGAGTGCTGAGAAGTTGTTTTCATACACTTCCTCCTCTCGTGATTTGATCTTGACAAACGTCATGATTGCTGGGTACTGCTGGAATTCTCTGCCACATAAGGCTCTTGATCTTTTCAATGGTGAGCACCAAGCTGGATTAGTTCCTGATGAGTTCAATCTCTCCAGTGTTCTTGGGGCTTGTTCACAAATAAAGTCTTTAGAGATGGGTGAGCAGATGCATTGCCGGGTTGTCAAGAGTGGTTTTGACATTTCCGATGTTATTGTTGGAAATGCAATTATAAGTATGTATGTCAAATGTGGAAGCATTGACAATGCCTCTAAAGCTTTCTATAGCATGCAAAGGCAGAACATGAATTCATATGAAACTTTAATCATGGGTTACTTGCAGAATAAAGGAATTAGTGAAGCTCTGAGTCTTTTCTATCGGATGCAACAGAGTGGTTTTCATGCTAAGCCAGTGGCTTTTGCAAGAATTCTAGGAGGGTGTGCTGACTTGGCAGCTATTGATCTGGGGAAGCAAATACATGCATCCGTTATGAAGATGGGTTTGGTTTCAGATTCGTACATAGGCAATGCACTGGTGGGAATGTATGCAAAATCTAAAAGCATTCATAAAAATTTTGAGGCTTCAATGTATATGTCAACAGAGGATGATACAGTGGAAGGAAACAAAGAAAGGTCAGTTGAAGATTTTGTGCCATTTAAACTTGAAGAAGAAAAAGAAAATTTCTGTAGTTACTCAGATGTTGAGAACATTCTCCCAACTGTTGAGGCTCAAAGGGGGTTGAAGTTGGAGTTATTGGATGGAAATTCAATGCTTGATGTAGATAAGAAATGCATGTCTTTTGAGGTGTCACAAGATATGCTCGGAGAGATGTTAGCGAGAGAAGTGGGAAGGCTATACTCACTTTCTACATATGCCTCTGTCAAGTTTGAGGTGATGCAGGTGGAAGGAATAATACCAGAACATGTTATTCTACTACTTGTCTTCTCAGATGTAAGTAGATTTGGTTTATTTGATGAGACATTTAGCAGCATCTCCGCCCTTCGGCGATCGGGGTTTAGCAGCAACCAGAGAGCATCAGCCTTGGCTTAAAGCGTGTGAATTCAATACCCACATGTTTAAATTGTTGTCATGATGATTTGCAAACTCTTACTGTTCCTTGGAAAAGGCATGGAGATTTCAAGGACTTGCCTGCATGTACTTTGCAAGGGGGGAGAGGATTATGCAAGAGAAAAAGGAAGGGCCAAAAATCCCTCCGAGCTTGGTGCAAGAAAATGAACTTCCATTTGTATTTGATCCTGTTAAGTTGAGAGCATCAGTGCTTGGTGCACGAAGTCATTGCAACTATGGGCCTTATTCCTGGAGCATGATGATGAGGCTATTGAGCATCAGGAAGCAAAGAGAAGCTCTAAATATACCCAAGATGAGCAGGTTAGGTTAGTATTTAAAATAGTAATGATGATATGTTTTGTCTGAGTTTCTGATGTAATTCATTGTACTAAGGTTTCTATTTCCTTTGTTTTTTCATAAAATGCAGGTCAATATCCAGATTATTACAGGCTGGAGTTTGAACTACACTTTTAGGTCACCAAAGAGTTTTAAAGGTACGGGTAGCAACTTAGAAAAACCTTGTTTATCTTCAAGTAAAAGATTGTGTAAACTATGTTGCTCACATTTGCTTACTAAATCAATAGAACATGTGATAAGGATTTAAGATAGAAAAGATACAATAAACAGAAGCCAGAATGTAAAGTCAGTTTCAGCGTGTCGTGTACACTTTAAATTATTATCAATAATTTAAAATTAAGTCTCAGAAAGTACAGACAGTCATAAAACTTGATGTACTCATATTTTCCAATGATATAAATTTTTTGTAAATGGTTAATCACTGAGTAGACAATGTATTACAATATATGCTCTGGAAGCTACATTTCATTGAACTGTTTTACTCTCAGCTCGTTCCGTCATGTCATATGTTTGTGTCTGTTATATCATTGCACAGCGTATACAGTAGCCACAGTTAATTGTCTGAAGCGTTATTGGCCAAATATAGAGAACCCCAAAATTTTGGCATATAGGCATCGTTATTGTAGTTATTTGCCAAAGATCTTGTTCATTTGGCAGTTTGGTGGTGCTTGATGCTAGTGGTAATCAACTTACTGAAAAAGAGAGACTTGAAGTCTTAAACATTTCTCCTATATTTACAACTTTAATTTAGTACCATTTGTGATAAATTTATGGTTTAAGAGAAACCTTCTCACTTTACAACGACTAAGAATAAGTAAAGGGTTGTTTGGGGGTGTCTTTTGTGAAGCTGATTGATGATGAGGAATCTTTGAATTTTCTTTTTGGATGTGGAATTTAAATTCTTAATCATTTATATAAACAGAAACCCAACTCATCAAATACGTAGCGTGAACTATTTGTCACTGTTAGTAGGAAAAAGAGAAAGGGAAAAAGAGAGGGAAAACTAACTGTAGACTATATAGGCTTATCAATACCATGATTTAGTTTGGCTTTAAATATCTGACAGGTCACTCGTACATTTATTCAAATATGTTCCTGAACCAACAAGTTTTATTTCCTTTATTTCTGTAGTTTAATCATTTATTTTAGAAAATCCAGTTTTTATATTTTCATTTTGTTTCTATGTTTTCATTACTCTGTTCTCTATGCTTAACGGATTTGGAATAGGTGATGGCAAAACGCTAGAACAGCCGACCCATTAAGAAAAAAGTTTACCTACTCGTGCCTACAGACACCCTTCTCATCTATGAAAAATTCTTTTTATATTCAATTTTACTCTATTGTTTTCTTACCTATTTTTCTGATATATGAACTCTATTTTATCATGAATTACATTAGCTCTGTAAATGGTTTCCACAAATAATTAGACAGATTATAGCTGACATGAATGCATACTTGATATGGACACTATTCGTGTATAATCATAGTTTGATATTTGACTGAACAAAATTCTATAGTTTCCGTAGGGAAACCACATTTTGTACTCATTTAAAAGAAGTAAAGGAGCGAGTGGGCATCCTAGCAAATATTATGACTTAATTGACTATATTAAAGACTCCAGTGTAAGTAGTGACAACCAGAAGAGTTAAGAAGATCGGTAATATATGAATCCCTCAAATCAGGTGCAACTTTCATCTACTGTTCATTATTTCGAAAGCTAAAATAGATGAGAATATGTTCAACAGCCAAGGCAGAAATTGACACATCATTTAAAGAGCATTAAAAGCATAACGTATATATGTTCATTTACAATGTACCAAACGCGCTCATTATGATAGCATGATCCATTCTCTATAAGGATAAAGGAAAATGAGAGAAAAATATTCATCTGCCTAGTATTGGAATAATATCATGCAAATTTACTAACTGACTATTACACACATAAGACATTATAAAATTTTGCTAATCGACTGCTACATGAAAGGATTTAAACCTCTTACCTGTACTTTTTAATTAGATGGTCAAATATGTCAATTTTAATAATTCAATACTTCATAGGTGATTGTCTAAATGTGAACATTATTGACCAAGTGCAAAACCGGAAATTGTTATTGCTGGAAGTTTTCTCAAACAACTTCGATTCTAGTTTCACAAAGGAAAATAAACTCAAAATCATAACTCTGGTACAACTGAACTAGGAGCATCGAAACTCATCTACCACAATATATTAGTCTTCTTCTTTCCCTTCAACATTACAAACTCCAGATTTTACCTTAACAACTCAAAGTTGTAACATGTAAACGTACATATTGTTCATTCGGTCCTTATGAACCACTATGGCCTGTAGACAGTCAAAAGGACTGAATGTCTAAGAACAATTGCCCCATGTGGCACTTCAACATATAACATAACAATATATTTATGCTTAAACCGGTTCTCTTGTATGCAAAGTGAGATTTCAGAGCCGAAGACATGAAGAGTGCCCTAGCTCTTGCTATTATACTCGCTGTATTTTTTTTAGGTAGGGCTCAGCAGACTGCTACCATGATTGTTATACAAAGTTAAGACTAGGCATATTGTCTCATTTAACATGTCAGATTTTTGTGTTTTTCCTGTTGCGCCATTGGAACTGCTGACATTAATACTGGCTGTGCTGCTAACTGTGCTAAGTCCGCATGCCTTCATTTTGATCCAAGTAAGATAAAGTATCAACATGTTTATGAAATATCATGTTTTTTTAATAAAGTATCAACATGTTTATGAAATACCATGTTTTTAATCTTAATAACTATGATATGTTTGTGTGTACCTTCATATCAGAGGGGAAAGACATGGAAACCTGCCTAAATACCTGTTCCAATAAGTGCGCCAAGCTGCCATCTGGATCTTCTTGATTGCGATATTTGATGAAAAATAAAGATGAAGAGCAACTTGAATATGATTAAGGAAAAAGGCATAAATAAATAAATAAAGACATGTTAAGATACTGAATCAACTGTATTTGATCGTTTCATTGAGATATCAACAGTACCAGCTGGTTGTACCAAGAGTATGGGAGAGAAGGGAAACTGTTTCATCTGTTTCATATTGAGTTCATTGATAATTTTCTTTTCATTTAGGTCACATTTATCCATTTGAAATTTTATAATCTATGAAGATATATTATAAAAAATCGGTTTGGGCAGACTGAAATGCTAACTAATCGTGTTGTTTAAATACTTTGAAAGATACTAGTCACATTAAGAAATGGTGGATCTTATCTTAATCTTTACAGAAGCAAGCTATCTATTTGAAAGATAGGTTAATGATAATCCTGGAGAACAAATTCCTGAACCTATATCTTATGGTTTAAAATTTCTGATAGAGTAATTCTGCTAGAAGAAAATTTTGGACCACAACCCTCCTGTAGAAACTCAACTTATATATTAAGAAAAACTACTGTCTTATCTCGACCGATTCTCCATAAAATGGGAGTCTCTCCTAATAGTTGGGCTCAACATCAAATGCATGAGCCATAGTATAGGGTTGTAAACGGTATACACACAACAAAAAAAAAAAAAAATCCAGACTAACTTGCCTAATCTGATATATTAGTCTATTAACCAGTATTCTTATTGCTCCCTGAAAAACTACCTCTCCAATTTTTTTTTTCTTAAGAAACCCAGAGTTAAAATCTTACTGAACAATTCGGCTATTAGACCTTGCACATTTTTACCCCATTCTGATGATTTCACGGGGTCACCAGAAATTCATGGGTGGTAGCTCAAAGTTAATTGCGGCATTAAAACTGTAAAAATCATGCAATTTGTGCTTCAAGGCTATTATATAAGACATTAGGCACAAAGCTACGTGTGTTGTAAATTATGGATCTAAATTCCTAGAGGGAAATACTTTGTATTGCTACTTTGTTCTTCTTTCTCTTTGTACAGAGTTTGGGCAGCTGTAGTGACTGCTATGATTGCTGCTACTGATTGCAGAGCACATACATCCTCACATGCAGGATGTAAAGTTCTTTGCTTTGTGTCATGCGTGGGCGATACAGTTTCGTCCGAACATCTTGACCCAGGTTAGATTATGAGACACAAGGCTCATAAATGTTGAATTTTATTAGTTTTATATATTTTTTTCTATCTACTAATTTTTTTGGTGTTTTTGTTTCATGCATATCAGCTGAGAAGGAACTCTGCATTCGACCATAACGGTGACCTCTTTCGGGTGATCTTAATTACTGTATTTGATAAAATAAAGATGATTTCGGGTGATCTTAATTACTGTATTTGATAAAATAAAGATGAAGTAATTTACGTAGGATTCAGAAGCAAGACGTAAATATATGGAGGAGAATGAGAAGGTAGAGGGTATCTGTGTCACACTCCTATTTAAACAGCAACAATATTAACTGGTTATCCAAGTTATCCACCAAACTTATTAACCAAAAATTTGTAAGGTATTTATTAAAGTTTTCATTTTAAGAAATGAAGTTATGGACATTAGCATATCTCCTATCTTTGTTTGTATCGCTTTAAAACTGCCAATCCAACTTGGAGAACTGAGAATGCTGGCAACTGCTGCTTTGTAATTGTGTCCAGAAATCTTTGACATCAACTATGTGTGTGTGTGTGCACGTGCGTGTGAAATGTACAAATACCTAAAGTTATAACTAGTTATTCTATTTTTTGAGAAATGTGGTTTAATATTCGTGGTTGCTCCCAAGCATTGCTGTTCTCACATTATAAAAAATGGTTTCTAGGAGCTATTATCTAGATTTTATATTGATTCGAGCAATGGTTGAAACAATTTACTGAAAGTTAAGGTAGTTGTAAAGAGGATTGAACTGTCCGTAACAAAGCCTGATTATCATCGATTAGAAATGTGTGATTCACAATTAAAAGCTATAAGGATGATGAATCAAGACTGGGTGTTGATATTTCTTTAATAACTTAATATGCTTCTTTATTTACAATTTAAAACTTAACATTTTGCTCGCATCAGATACATATGCCTTGAAACTTTTGCAGTGCATTCATGTGACGAGAATTGCTACTAACCGGCTTTAGGATTGATTGCTGTATTTGATTACATAAAGATGAAGTAATTTATGTATTATTTGGAAGGTAGACATAAATAAATAAATGAGAATGAAAAGGTAAGAGTGCATAAGCGTGACACATTTTTATTTAGACAGCGACAGGTTTAACTGGTTATCTTTCAATATCTTCCGTCTTATTAGTTTCACATTAACCAAGAAATTCTACATTAAGCTCATATTTGAAACCTGGCAACCTTTTAAAAGAGGATATGCGCGCTCAACTTGGCCCTAGTATTTTTTTTATAGATATTTCTAATATGGGTAACCTGAAACTAACTGATACTAGTATCAGAAGCCAATTCACGTGTGCACTTGTCAAAAAACAAACCCTCTTTGTTTCTCTCCTTCACAGAACAATGAGCAAATCACAATAATAAACTATTCGTCAGTTTGGGCTTTGTAATGTAGATAAATTTAAGGTACTAATATTACAAAATATTTAAATTCTTTGAGTAATCTGGTAACACTTGGACTCAATGTCAAATACATGAGTCTATCTTATAGGTATTGCTTAAATATTAAAAGTAGTATTAAAACGGAAGGATCTTTTCTTGCAGACAACTTTGAATTTCCACAAGTATCAGTGTTTGTGGGGCTCAACCATATGAAAAGAATCTTATGGCCTGTTGTTTTATTCTATCTTTTTCAGCACATGCTATACTTAGATGCATAATTTCAAAATGAATGGGTCTATTTATTTATTTATTTATTTTTGTTTTTGATGCTTGTGTTTCATGCATATAATATGGGAATCATGGGATAAAAATGAAAGCCTGCATTCATACAGGTGACAAGAAATGCAATTAAACACCTTTTTGGATCCTCTTGATTAGTGTATTTGATAATAAAAGAAAAGATGGAGAAATTTATGTATGATCTAGAAGAGAGACATAATTAAATGGAAGAGCATGAGAAGAGAGGGTGTAATCGCGCCACACATTTTTATTAACGAAATAGCAATATCAACTGGTTATATTTCAGCTTTATAGCCCCTGAGAAATGAATCATAACGAAAATTCATAAGATGATTACCCAAAATATCCACCAAACTTGTCTCGAGTCTTAAAAATTTATGAGGCATATATTGAACTTTTCATGTTAAGAAATGGTTATGAACTTCGGCATATTTCTGATCTTCGTTTTTATTGCTGTAAGAACTGCCGAGCTAACTTGGAGAACAACTGATAATGCTGGCTATTTCAGTGTAGTTCCTGGTCTTATTTGATTTGGTTTCAGAGTGTTTTCTATCATCAAAATTTTGTCAACTTGCACAAAACTGAACTCAGCTTACTGAAAGCATTTTGAACCACTGCCTTTTATACACACTCGCTTGCATAGTTCATTCTTATAGACACAAATTGCACGTTCATAGCTACTTGAAAGAGTTATAGAGTGACACAGGCTCTAAAATTTAGATAAACCCCTGAAATTATTCTCCTGTTTAATCCAGTCATATTGACCTATTCATTAAGATATGCTGCCTTTTGATCTCATCCATCCATAAGAAATCTGATGACCTTCAAGGAGAGGACATGCTTTGTTTTGTCCCTAGGTTTTATAGATATTTCTAATTTGGGTAAACTGAAAACACTTCATCCAATCAGCACATTACAATTTGTCTTGAGCAATCCTTCTATTTTCTCTGAACTAAGAACATCACTGAACAGATCACCAGAATGAACTGTTCATCAGGTTTAGGCTTTTCGAATCTAGCTCACTTTAAGGTACTAGCTCCGCAAAAGACCTCCATTCTTTAAGTAATCTGATTAGGCTAGAAGCGTAAACTATGCTTAAAACTTAAGTGAGAAAATTGTTAACGAACTAACCTCTTACTACAAGAACCTCATGGGCACTGCTGTAACAACATCTATTCCTAGCAGCATGTTAACTTTCACCAGAACATGTTAACTTTTAGGGTTTTTTTTATTGACTATCATGTTAACCTTGTTAGGTCTCATGTTTATGAGCCTACTCCCTAATATTGTTTTGATGATTACAAACAATTCGTAACAACGTGTGTCGAGTGTTTGCATTTGTTTTGTTAGGTAATCTACACAAATATTGATGTTGGAGGTTGGATGGAATTTGCGGCATAACGATCATATCAAATGGAGGTTAGCGGAAATAGTGGAGTGAAGTAATACAATTCAAGTCATATACAAGATCAAGCTTTATCCGCAACCAAGTCAAGCTATATTGAAGACCTTCAAGATTGGGTAATTTAGTTTAGGTTTATACTTGTGTGTAGATACTTCAAGCTCAATCACATACACACATACAAGTATTGGTTTCTCTCTCTCTCTCTCTCTCTCTCTATATATATATATATATATATATATATATATATATATATATATTTTTCTCCATATTTCTCTCTCTCTCTCTCTCTCTCTATTATATAATATATATATATATATATATATATATATATATATATATATATATATATTATATATATATATATATATGAGATTAATGGGTATCCTTGTCATAGGAGGGGATTTCCTCCTATGACGCCTCTAAAATCACATGATTGAGCGACATTGTGGATGATCCGCTCCGTTGAACTTGATCTATATATTCTAAAACCCTAACACACCAAGTTTGGGGTGAACCCGTCGTCGTTTGACCCTTCATCCACTCGTATCAATTTTAACGGTTTTGAATGAATAGAACTTTTCACATGGCTCGATAGAGGATCAAACGACGACGGATTCACCCCAAACTTGGTGTGTTGGGGTTTAGAATATGTAGATCAAGTTCAACGGAGCGGATCATCCATAATGTCGCTCAATCATGTGATTTTAGAGGCGTCATAGGAGGAAATCCCCTCCTATGACAAGGATACCCATTATCTCATATTATATATATATATATATATATATATATATATATATATATATAAATATATATATATATATATATATATATAAGGTTCTCCATATTCTCTCTCTCTCTCTTCTCTCTCTCATTATATATTATATATTATATATATATATATACACTTTTCATCCAAAGAAAAGAAGTTATGGACTTTAACAATTCCCGATTTCGAATATGATCTGAGAATGCTGGCTATTGTCGTGTAATTTCCAGACCTGTTTGATATGGTTTCAGCATTTTCCTTTTTGCCCTTAGGAAAAAAAAATGGTTCAGAGCATTTTCTAATCATCATATTTCTGCTAGCTTGCACAACAACAAAGTTAGATTATTGAAAAGTCCAGCGTTTTGGACCACTACTCTTTTATGTATTAGCTTGGTGCATATGCATATGCTTATAGATGCAAACTGCATGTGCATAGCTAGTTCAAAGGGTTATAGAGCAACATTTGTTGAAAATTTGGACAAACCAATGAGTTGGTCTAATGTATTATTCGTTTCACATGAACCCAGAAATGCTAGGCTTTAATCTCATAGTTGAAACCTGATAACCTTCAAGAAGAGGATGTACGATCACTTTGTCCCCAGATTCTATAGATATTTCTAATTTGAGGGACATGAAACTAACTGATACTATCGTCAGAATCCCTTCTATATTGAGGGACCTGAAATAAACTGATACTATTATGAGAATCCCTTCACGTGTGCACTTATTAAAAATAACTCTCTCTATTTGCCCCTCCCCTTCAAAGCAACTAAGAACATCAACGATCAGATCACTATTATAAGTCAGTTCGGCTTTGTAAGTCAGTTAAAAAAAAAGAGTCTTGCTAAATTTATGGTATCACCAATTGTTTCAATTATTTGAGTATTCTGAATCCTGATTACACTTAGACCCAACGTCTAATGCAAGAGCCTGTCTTATATGTTATAAAATGAACAGTTGCTTAAAAGTTAAGAAGGGTACTAAAACATAAGGGTCTCTACTTGTAGACAACTATGAATTTCTGAAAGTATAGTAGCCACTGTAGGAACTCAATATATAAATAAAAACATTGCTTGCTCTTTTATTCTTTCCCTTTTCCGCACAAACTATGCTTAGACTAGCTCTAGGATTCAACCACGTAAATAGCGCGTGGCACTGTAATCTCAAACCTTTATAAATCAGCAGTACTTGTTTCAGGTTCCAATCATTCAGTAAAATTGTGGAGACTAAGACTATGAGGGTTACCATAGTTCTGACTATGCTCTTGTTGCTTATTGGCCAAAGCTCTGCAAGCTACAAAGACTGCTTTCCATGTTGCTTTCCTAATTGCAGGTCTCGGGGTAATGGGAAGATATATTGCAATTAGTTATGCTTCTTTGAGTACATTTCTGTACCTACACCAGTATTTCCCCGAGCCCCACCTCAGGCTGAGTCTAACTGCAGCTCTGAGTGTGCTAAGTCCGCATGTGCTCATCATGACCCAGGTAAAATAAAATGTTCTTTTTTTTTTGAGCTTTGCTACAGGGACCCAAAATATGGGACCAATAAATGAGACAAGTGAGGTGTCCCCCTCCTATTGAATAATGAGTTGGTCATCATTAATGATGACCAACTCATTATTCAATAGGAGGGGGACACCTCACTTGTCTCCCCTATTGGTCCCATATTTTGGGTCCTTAAAGAATTTTTCTTTTTTTTATGTGAAACTGGAATGATTACTGATGTAAGTTTTGATCTTGACTCAACAGAAGGGAAGGATGGGAGGCCTGCGTTGATGATCGTGTGAAGAAATGCACTACTTAGCAGCAAGGATCTTTTTAAAGGAAGCATATTATATAAATCTATAAATATATGTTAATAAGCCTTCAGTTGTGTGACTGTATCTAAAGAATGATAAATAATGGACAACTACTACCTTTTAGTAATGTTCAGAAATCTTTCTTATGAATTATCTCTGTGTGTGAAATTTATGTGTAACTAATGATATAATTAGTTGTCATAATGTTGGCTGCCTGTTTCAAGCTAATTTCAACAATATGGCTTAGCTTACATTTGGTTATGGCTTAGCTTACGTTTGGTTATGATCATACATTTCTTCATTGCAGTAGTATTATGTTTCCTCTGTATATATTGTGTTCGAGCAGCGATTTATAATGAAAGAGTACACACTAATTGGATGTTTTCAATTGCTTTAGTATCAAAATGGGCTCTCTATCGTGCTACGAAACATGATAGAAAATTTTTACTTTCCAAATTTAAAAAATTTGCGTGTAAACATGTGCACATGCACATTCATACATTTGATGTGCTCTTTCTGCTATAAGTACATCTCCTAACGACTCTCTTGATCATTCAAAAAAAAAATAGGATCATGGAACAAAAATCAATGAGGGGAAACCTAGCTCTCTTTATTGTTCTCTTCTTGCTCATAAGCCCAAGCTCAGCTGGCTCTGAGTTTTGCTACAACCTATGCTGTCCACTGTGTGGACGACTGCTCCCCAAATTCCTTTGCAAGCTTACTTGCAAGGGGGCCTGTAAACTGAGTGGTGGAATTGTTGATGTAATTGGTCGTATAATTGGTGGTCCGGCTGGCTGCATAATAAAGTGTGCTGAATCGTCGTGCTATAATCTCAAGCCTGGTATGAATATATGTATGCATGCATGTACATTTATGCATGTATTTACTTTTTCACTTACTTATGATTATTTTTTACGCTTGTTCTGATTTATGACAGAAGGGTTAGACATTCCAGCCTGCATCAAACAATGTGACGACAATTGCCACAAGTCGCGCTAGCAGTCTAGTCTCGACTGCTAAGATATAATAAATGTTGCTGCCTTAAATTGGTATGAATTTGAAATAATAGCATAACAAGATCATGCTATGGGTGTGAGTTATACAAAGATATCAGAAATGTATTGACTGCTCTTTCAGTATTTTCTATTTTCAATAATAATCAGTTGGCTTATGTTCAGCTAATCCTCAATTACACCAACTGATCTCTAAAGGGGTTACTTATTATAAAAATGACCGTTATTTTACTATTGTGCCTTGTAATTAGTTTCCTGAACTGGAGATTTTTTACAAAGAAAATGAAACAAATAGCAACTTGTAAACTCTTCATTCCCTCTGATCTTTTCCAACAGAAAATTGTTCTAGAGGCGCATGAACTTATTTCCGTCAACCCGAGTGAAATTGTTCTCTGTGATCACAAGCAAAAGCTTTCAGTTTTTCTTCCCAGGAGAGAAAACTACTGGCTTTGAATTTAATCAACATACATACTGTTTTGAACTAAATCGAATTGAATTTGTTATGATTAATTTCATAAATAGCAGTATTATTTTATCACGAGCATGCAATAGCCATGTCCAATACCTCACGTCATGTTAAATCAATTTCTCGTACCTTAAGCAAGTACAGGATACTGAACTGTAAAATTAATTACAAATACCAATTTCAGAGAACATGAATCTCAAATCACTTTAAACATGATATAATTTATGGTTGGTTATTTGCACTAAGGCATAGTTTGAGAAAAATTTCTGAAAGAGATGAATACAAAAATCTTGACTCAAAAGAGCCATAAGTTTATTGAGCTATAATTAAAGTAGTACAAGTATCATATAGTTGTACATCTTCAATGCAACTTAGACTATTATTTGTTATGTATTTCGCTCATAACAAATAAATACAAGGAAATAGTAGTTAGTATCAAGTTTGTATATATCAGTTGATCATATACTATTATTTCTTAATTTCCACTAAATTGAAAGTTCTAACTATGGAAGCTTTCATTTGTCGTAAACCACTCAATTAGGCAAACTAATATGATGTTTTTAACCTCTTTGAGTGCATAAATACCTTTTGTGCTGACAAAAGCCTGCACTAAGACAGTATCAGTCCTGTAAGTAATTCAGTACATACTATGTAATTTCGTATTGTTTTCCAAAAAATGGAAGTAATTTCACACAGATTCTTTCAAACTATGAATGGACAGAAACTCCGGTTAATTTGCCCTCACCTCAAACTCTTAACTCAATGTATAAATTGTTAAAAAAGAGAATTATAACTCATAATTTTTAATTGATTATAAAGATTTTACAATAGCTATGCAAGTTTCAGTTCTAACAAAAAGCACATTTTAAATAGATAACTCAACAAATGCTCAGGTTTTGGCCATAAAAAGAAAACTCAACTGCAGGAACTATTAAAAATATAAAATTATAGCATTCAATGTTATTATAACTTCAAGTTTCAGTGTAGAAAGACAACGTCTGAGATAGATATATAATATTAGATTGAACAAAGCTCATAATTATGAGTGTGTTACCTTACTTCAGTCCATTCATCTATTCATCCTAATGCATGGCCAAATATGTCACCATAAGTACATGACAACATTTTTGTCATCAGGATTACATGCGGAAATAAACATCTTCAACCCATTTGCTAAAAATCTTCAAGTTGCAAGTTTTTGTATGGAATTGTTTTAATTTTGTGGTTGAGTAGGCTTGTTCAAACCATTATTTGGTCCAAATAAGAATGGAGTTAGATCCCCACACGAAATCGATATGAGACTCACAACTTCCAGTCCTATTTTAAACATAAAAAGCATGATATAAACAAATTGATCCGTTTGCGTTACAACAACACAGAGATAAGGTGACCATGATGACATTCACTTACATTGATTCGCATTTTATTTCACATAATTAATTGATATAAGTAATAGAACAATTAACCAATATTGAGACTGTAGATCATACTCCCTTTAAAAGCACAAATTCTGGAAAAGCTTTCTATGGTCAATATTGTCATTCACTATTTTAAATATTTCATTTAAATCTTAATTTATCATATTCCTAATTATATTTGATATTAATTCATTGTGAACTACCTATATATAGCTCAACAATTTTAAAAAATAAGAATAATAAAATACATGAAATACTATTTTAAATATTTTATTTAAGTCTTACTCTATACTAATAATAATTATATCCTATACTAATCCTACGTGAACTACCTATATGTCAACAATTTAAAAAAAATTACACTAAGAAATCACACATAGGTAACATATTATAATTCATAAAGTATTAATATTTTATTTAAATCTTACTCTATACTAATATACTAATTATATCATCTACTAATCCTACGTGAACTACCTATAGCTCAATAGTTTAAAAAAATTACACTAAGAAATCACACATAGGTAACATATTATAATTCATAAATTATCATCAAAAGTTCAAAATTACACAAAACACTCCAACTTTTCAAAACTTAAAAAAATGAAAATGAAATCTGAAAATTAACAATAGTCCCCCCAAAGACTTTAAAACTTTCAATTAACACCCTTAACGTTTCAAAAACTGTAAAATAACCTCAAAAGTTTAAATTACAAAAATGCACCTGAAATTCTATAATTTTAAAATTTGCAAACAACATAGATGAACTCAAAGGATTACCATAAATCACTTAAATTTTAAAAATTTGTTAAAAAACCTCAAAGTTATAAAAATAACAAAAAATCTCTTAAAAGTTAAAAATCGCAAAAGCCCTCAAATTTTAGAACTTATAATCAATACACATTAAATCTAGAAATTATTTAAGAAAATAAACCCAAAATTTAAGAACGTTCATGAATCACTTTAATTAACATTGACAAACGATATAATTATCAAAGAAGCACTAGCTGAGTTCCCCTTGAAAAACATATTGAACAACTTTGTCCCGATCAGAAAAACATTCTTTATGAAAAATATAAGAAAAATTAGTAAATTTTTATAAATGTTTATATTTTATTCTTCCAATATTAAAGAAATCTTAAAATTAATATAAAATTATATACAAATAATCTTGTAATAGAAACTAAAGTGAAGTCATTGATCAAAATGTAACAAGCCAGATAATGGGAGAGAAATTGCTATAATAGACAAAAGATATACACATGATACTTATTTACAATAAGTAAGTAAAAAAATTAAAATCGACCTTTTTTCCTATATAGTGTCATGACTGTGCGTGTAAATTTATTTGGGGATATGACTACCAATGAATGATCATTTCTTGAAAACATACTAAAAAAATAAGCATGTAATAGTACTATCAAATTTCAACATCTCTAAATATGAAGGTGACATATTTCATTACTAAAATTCTTATTAAAGCCACTAAACATAAAATGTAGGGAAGATATACATGTCATTGTAAATTGTGTCAACAATATATATCAACCTAAAGATATAATTTACTAAAGAAATAAGAGAATAGTAAGTAAACCAAACAAACATCCACATAATACAATAAAAAATATCATATTTTAAAACTAATATGTTGGGCTCATTTAGAACAAGCTGCCAAAGTAAAAACATCTCGATTAAGACTCTTTATAAATACAACACAAATTCAGATTACTGATATATGCAATCATCATAACATTCGAAAGAGGTATGCTGTTACAAGACCTACTCTAAAATTCACACAATTGATCCTAAAAATAGTTTACCAATATATAGACACACTATTAGACCTATAATACAAAGATAACTACCATTTACAATAGAGTTGAGCTATGGTTTTATGCTTGCGAGGGCTGCAACAAGAAAGTCGATAGAGATATTAATAAGAGTGCCCAAATGATAAATATCACAGAATAGCTGACAACATAGTATTAAGGTTAAGTCCCTTTTTCATGAAATAAACATATCAAAAATCAAATATTAACATTATAACCTAAGGTAAATTGAAAATAAAAAATATAGTTATTTAGTTCAGATCCTCATGGAAAATAACACAAACAGAGCAAAAGTAACATTATTTGATGTAACAAAAACTCTTATATGATGCATAATAGAAGAATTCATTGTAGAAAAAAAATAGGTGACTCCTAACCTTTTTTAAGTAATAAATTAGAAACACAAATTTTCATATATGTAAAATTAACATTTATGCTCATTGAAACAAAAATAATAATTGAAGTCCGTATTTCCAGAAGTTTGTGGTGTACTTCAAAAATACATTCAACTTCTTTGTGATATAAGATAAGAAGATAAAAGATATATGAAGAAAGATAGCAGCACAAGAAATCTAGCTTCATCCTAAGTTGCTCTCTGCTTCTTCTTACACTTGAGCTTTACTCTCTGTTGGGATTTTTTTTACATCAAGAGCATTTTAATAACCCTCCAAGAAAAACCCCCTACAAGGACCTCAATGGCCCAGGGGCCTCTCAAAAAACCCTCCCCAAGTTCACCAACTGATTTGACCGTCGGAGGTACCACGAGGGAAACTAGCCCCGTATTTCTGCGATTCTTGTATGTGCAGGCTATCAGTCCACCCCGCGCGCTCAGTATTGGGCATAAAGTCGGAGGAGGAGTCGGTCCCAATATTCATCCTCTCCTTCTTCCTCACCGTCGCTAGGATTGAAACTGCATTCGACAGTAGGAAACCCCCATCGACTGTTTGTTCACGAGCATCGCGGGTGGCCAACGGGCGGCGGTGGTGGTGAAGTGCGGGCTAAGAGCCGAGTCATGGGGATAAATGGGTCACTTCTAGCCAAGCATAGAGAGGCGATGGTGAAGTGCGGGCTAAGAGCTGAGTCATCCCTCGCTTTACAGGTATCGGCTGACGACTGGAGGGGAAGTCACTTCGGTACGGGAGAGTGTGTCTCCGTATTTTTGGGAAGTGATTGAGGACGTGGCAGACGGCACGTGGGTAGCTGACAAGTCATGGAGACCATCAGGCTAGAATCAGGATAAGGCTTGTTCGAGGTGGACTGGGATGCTGACATATACTCTCGGAGAGAGG